GCATTTAATTAATGAATAGGAAGCTACAGAAGAATGATGAAAGTGAAATAAAATATTTGAAAGATGATTATGACAATGGTAAGGACTAGCTCAAAAACACTTGGTGCTAATACAAAAAATAATCAACAGCTTAAGAAAAACAGAAGAAGCAAGTACCTACTTATTGAGTATGAAAAATTAATTGTTAAGATCATGGTAGAGTGATAAATTGCAGGTGTTGGTTTTGCACACAAAGTTCTGATGTGAAAAGATCAATTCTTGTTGCCCCTGCAGTGCATAAGATATTGAATTTTGTTGTTTGACCATGTGGATGATCCTGAAAGATATATCTGTTAGGACAGTGTGATTGGATCTGACAAAATTCTCCAATACTTAGCTACCGATTTCTCACCTTCTCCTTTTGAGAATCATGAAAAACAATGCTCGCAGAGAACCTTCGCTTTTCGCTATCAGTATCACCTGTATATAACTCGCGTATAAAAGAATGATGTTTTTCCAGAGGCTTATTTATCCTTTTTAATATTACGTGGTTTAATGAGACATAGAATTCCCGAGGAATGATAGTTTTTTATTGACTTGTTTACCATAAATTCAAACCTGTTGTCAATTTTCAGTGTCTTGACAATTATTAGTAAACAAAACAATCAATGGTGCGAATTTATATACATGTAATCTATAATCTTGAGATAGTTACTTAGGAGTGTGAATGTGTATCAGCTTAACTTTTTACCTGCTCTTGATCTACTATCCTAATTGATCCTAGGCATTAGACAACATGTTATCAGCGGGTTTTGATATGGATGGATGTAATGAGAAGTGATTAGAGTGATATAAAGGAAGTTGAACAAACGATTTATTTGACCGGTTAACTTATGTAAATCATACTTTGAGTCTCATACGAACTGTTGGTGCTTGACACATATTTTATTTATCCTATGCCTTTGGTTTTTCATTTACCACTAATGAATTTCCGCAAATTTTAACCTATACTGGACTAGTTAGCACTGTTTAGCAATATGTCACTCATCGGTCTTTGGCTTTTTCCGTTTTTTGAAACTTCCGAAGTCTAGCACGTCAGGTGATTTGTATCGAAAAATATAGTGCCGAAGCTATTTCTGGCAAAATTCTCAATAATTTTCTTCTTACAAGCAGAGATAGATGGTAGTTAGCAATCGAATCCTTTTCTGAATGTACCTGAACCCCAGAATTGATGCTCAGTCCGCGACTTGAACCTCGTACCGTTCGCTTCAAATACCATCGCGTTATCCACTTAGCCAATGAAAGACTAGTCATTCGCACTGCTAAACATCAATGAGAGAACTCAAACATACAGTACAAATGAATTCTTTTCTTGTTGGAGCATAAGTTCGACTCTTCCTAACGAAGATTTAGTAAGCAACTTAGTAAATTGATCAAAAGATACATTCTTTGAAAGTATGTACACATGATGCATACTGTTTTCACGTTAAAGATGGGAGAACCCATTCAGTAGGATTTAAGTGTAATGGTGAAGACCTAAGTTTAGGGTTTCCAGCTAGTTACCTCAGCCATCTAACTTAGTTCATCAGTTATTGTAATCAGTGTTTCAATACATTTATGACAGCGAAAACCAGTTTCTAAGCAGATTTTAAATCAATAATATACATAATATCAGCTTGGTATTCTCTTGACATTTTGAAGAGCCGTTCGCCAATTCACACCTGAACTTGTACATGACCTTTTGATGAACGAGAAGTACTTGACTATCTTAACTTCAATTTGATTAGCTCAATCTGGATTAGATAGTGTGAGACGATGGTTGATTGCTATTTATATTATCTGAAACATACTCATTTTATAAACTAAAACGTCAACGTGAATGGCAATTCGATATAGTGTCTAAGACGGTTGAGTCACGGTTGAACTTTCGCGAGTAATATGATTTAAATCTTAGTGGGACTTAAATTCTCTTTATTTTTATTATCATCCCTATACATAAAAACTTACTTACAAGATTATCTTAATTAGTCATATTTATATCCATTATCCCCAAGATTCTTCTCAGAAATACAACTTATAATTTATTTGTAAACATAACTTCTTTGGTATAGTAGAAATGAATGGAGACTGAACCTCATTCATAACTGATTAGTCAAATTTTAAGTACTGGTTTGCTGAAGTGTCTTCCTACGGATAACTAGTTTTTGATTTTACCACCATTTAAATATCCTAGACTTGATTTGAAAATATCACTTGAGTTGACATCCTATTTTAGATCGACCCAACTCAAAGTAAAAACGAATTCCAGCACATTACTCGTTTGATACTAAATGATCAGGGTAGTGTTATTCTATAGGTCATAATATTTGTTAACCGTTAGTTTGGTTTTCCATAGCGTCATAACTAAGGTTGATTTTTACCAATATATCTGAGACTGGAAGTCTCAAGTTTACTCTCAAAGTGGGAATCGATAAGTTTTGTAAAAATGGCCGTAGATATTTTATTTTTTCTTGACTGATGGAGGATGGTGAAAATAATATCGGATTAGTAAGGTGGAGTAGTGTAGTCTAAAGAATGTGAAATCTCGTCACAGCTTACATTGGTATGTAATGATAATAGATCGCTGAAATATTTTCCCATTCTGAGTTGTTTATAAAAATCGAGACATTTGTCAGGTATTCCTATTTCACTGAAAATTGAACCATTCAAAATTAGTAACTTATTTCGAAATTACTGTTGCTTTTCTATCTAGACAAACCAGATCTCATATCCAGTTGATCGTTGTTTAACTCTCCTAATACTGGTTTATGCTCCATAGTTAGAATTAACGATCCCAGATATAAAGGGGTTTTTAGAAAATTAACTATATACATGAATTATGGTTGAAACTAGTCCCATTTGTTTTCATCCGTAGACTTCAAACAATTGATTTATCTAATGATATTCTCATAGTGGTTCGAGTGCTAACTTCTAATCCATAAAGTTATGCTTTCATTCAATTACTTTTTCATAAAGGCATTAGTTAATGGGTTGGCATATATTATGAATTTATTTTGTTGTATTCAACAAGTGAAGGAATTACTACGCTAGTCATCATTACGTATACTACGGTTTCTCTAAGTTAAATTCAGTTGGTCACAAATCTTACCACAGTAGCATCAGTCACTTTGTTACTGTAGTGTTGTTTACAGAAGAGCAGATTATTTTTAAAAAAGTTAAAAACATATTTGAATAACGGTATTTGGGTTTATAGAATTAATCATCTCGTTTTCTCCCCGACTTTAATTATTTTTGTTGTGGATACTGGCTTGGATTGCATAACAATTCACCACTTAGTTTATCCTTTGGAATGTCAACGTTGCAGCATTCTACTAACAATTTGAATATGTTGCCAACTGACGATGATTGACCACAATTTTTGAATACGTCAGTTATTATTATAGGTTGTTTTATGATTGAATTTAGGCGTGCAACTAACCTCAATTTTTAACAGAATGACTAATTTAAAGTAGATATTCGTTCGTTACTTTGTTTTATTTTCAAGCGTAAACTGATATATTTGCCCTGATTAAATGTGCATGCTACTCATTTATTGATATCAATGTACCATTGAACCAGATTCAGCTTCGCTAAATGAAAAAAATTATGTAGAGGCTTAGTGACAAGAAAGTTTCAGTTCACGAGAGTATCCTCTGCAACCATTCAATGGAACCTCACTGACATCGGTTCATCTTCATTTAATTTTTCGAAAACTCATTCATGTTGGATATTATCAATGATGGTGTGATTATTTCTCTCATGAACTATATTACCACATAATTCCCTACATATTCACTTACCTGATTTTCACTTCAGTTGTTTGACATGTATTCCGAAATCATTTAAACACAAATATGTGACCTCTAAAGTGATGTTAGTTAATTTACGTATAAATGATTCATATGTCTTAACGTTCATTAGTTTTTTGCAGTTGTTTGGTGAAGATATATCGACCTTGCACACACACCTTCTGAAGATTCCGTCCGATTATGTATTTTGACCAAATACTTTTATATTACCTTTATCTGAGAGAAATACATTGATCCAGCCATATGAAGTTTGCTAAATTACTGCAAATGATGTTTAAATAAACATTTATCATACAGAGAAAGGTCAAGTTCTAGGAAAATTTCAAAACAGGTGAATTATAGCAGTAAGGTTGATTCACTTTTTTCAAGGTCATTGACATTTATCATGTGCAAATAGAGAAAATAAAAAATAGGTTGGTGTATTCACCGTTAGAACACATGGATTGTGGCTAGCAATGAAAATGCATTTCGTCCTATTTGATATTTCCACTGTACGTATAACTTTAAACTCTGACAGAGATCCACTAAACTACCGAGTCCAGATGGCTACGGTCTTCATTAATGTTTTTATTATCTCGTTGTTGATATTCAGGATTGAAATTTTCCCAATCTTTGTTGTTATTTATAAACTTTTGGGAATATTTCTAATAAGCTTTATTTGTTTTCCGCATTTTTTGTTGACATGATCGAACTTATCATTGATTTCGTCTGACTAATCATTCGGTGAATGAAAACTAACAGAACAACCTGTTTTTATTATTATCAGTAATACACTACTTTACCGTCTGAACAGAGCTATCCTTCAAGGAAACAGTTTTAGTGATATCCGTAGCCGAGTAAAATCAGGTGTAATCTGATCAGTTGGCTGTGTGAGTTATTTTGTTTTCTATCTAAAATTAGTGTATTATCTGCTTAGTTAGAACCAGGTCTGTTGAACAATATGTGAATACTCCGAATTTTTAATAGATGTTTACGATTTTATCTGGGCTAACACGCTCTTGTGGTCATGTCAGGCTTTTAATTGATAGCTAGGTTACTTAAAATTCTTTCAATAGGATGATAAGTTAATAATTCATTTACACTTTTTTTAAGGCTTCAATTTAGTTACTCTGTTCGTATGGTATAACTGAGCTCACTTGTCATGAAACAGCTTACTGATAGTGTCAGATAATATTAAATGTAACTAACTTTAATATATTATCTTCTGTAAAACTATACCGACTCTGAATTGATGAAAAATAATAAATAATTTGTACACAGCTTAACAGTTCTGTATTAAACAGTGGATAAAAGGAAGCATGCACCATGAATGTTATTCGTTCATAAAACATTAGAAAGTGAAAATATTTCAAGACAACCTCAACAATTAGCTGGAAACAAGACTGAAACCATAGTAAAATATTTTAAGTTTTTTAGATAACGTAAAGCTGAATAAAGCATATGATTTTCCATGATGATGAATTACAATTCAAGTGAAAGATTCTGTTCCAGGAAAATTTAGATGGTAGATATTTTGTTAGGAAAAAATATTTACTATAAACCCTCAAAAATCAGAGTCTGTTAACACATAATGAATCATAATTTACCATTTTGCATCATATTTCTGGTTGATGAGGATAAAAATAGTGCATAGTGAGCTTCAATGTTCATTGGATCTATCTAAACACGAGCTGCTTCAGCTAATAGCCTTGGGATGAATCCCTGAAATTTATATAACGGAAATGTCACCGCTGAAACCAACAAAGTCAGATAAATATAAAACAATGACATCGGATGTTAGTAGCATTGTAGTCCAGTTAATTAAATCTGTCAAATATGGTCCACTGTATTCCGCTTCATGAGGAATGGGAAATACTAGAGACGTTAGATTGTGAGCTCAATCTCATATGAAATTATTTTTCTCAAATAATCATAAAACGATAATACACTGAATTATAATTTGTAATAAATTTTCTTTAATTTTAAATCATTCCTTGATACTATCTTCAAATTAAAAGAAATACCTATAAGTATGTGACCATGTTTAGTTCCAAACAGGCAAGTTCAACCTCAAGATAAAATAGGCAATCGTTTTCGAAAAAAAAGTTTTATAATTCCAGATTTATGAATAATACAGAATATACAATGGAACGGCATATTATTGTTATTATTATTATTATTATTATTATTATTATTATTATTATTATTATTAGTATTATGCAAATACGAATTGAGCACAGGTAAGGAAGTCATCATCTTTGTTTGTTATCTGGAAATGGTTCAATAAAGTTAAACACATAGCTAATAAATGAGATGAAGATATAACGAAGTTAATTTTTTTCTGTGTTTTTTTCCGTACAGATAGTTTGTTTTACAATTTTACAATTATTTATGTATATACCTATCAGTGTTGTAGTATGTTAAAGTCGTTATTTATTCAACAGTTGTTTTAACAATGGTAAATAATTAAATCACTTTTCAATAATAAAAAAAGAAAAAAACATTAATAAAACAGTTTAATCTCAAAAAATAGATTGGTATTCTATATTTAGTGCCTTATTACTATTAACAACAAAACTAGTTGTAAAATATACTCATAAATCTAATAGTGAATGTATATTGATGATGATTTAATTTTATTCTAATTTTCAGTTTGATGCACTTTGAACAGGTAAACTATAAGAGTTATTTGTTCGTTCACTATTCATGTTATCATTCTCGATAGTAATTTTATTAACATTGTTTACTGAATAATTTAGATTTCCATAGTGTTTATAAATATTTCGCTTATCAGAAACTAATGGTATTATTCCTAGGGTTTCTGATGTATTTGTTGTTGTATTATTCAAACAATGAGTATTGTTTTTACTGTTTGTACTACTACAAGGTTTTAATAAACATGATTTACTTTCTGGTAATGAAGCATAACCTCCAACAACATGTGCACATTCGGGACAGATTGCTAACCCTCTTAAGGAACTAGCCAAAATGGATGTGTTCATTAGATATTTATAATGAGCTTCATGAAAACCAACACAGCTACAAGATATTTTATCTGAAATTGATGAATTGATACATGGAATTGGACTTGTATGTATACCAAGAAAATCATCATTGATACAACACAAAGGATTAATGATGTTAGGAGATTTAGTGTTCAGTGTTTGACTTTGCGTACTCTTTGAACGTTTACGATTTAAACGACAAAATTGTAGCTTTACTGAATTCCGAACCCGTTTATCATTTTCATTACTATTATTATTATTGTAAATAATAATTTGATTGTTATTGTTGTTGGAAGTGTGACCAAGTTTACATTGATTTTCGTTATGTTGGCAGTTAGAAGTTGGAACGACTTGAGGATGAAATTGTTTATCTAAATTATCAGCTAATTTCCTACGTAGCTCATTTGTTCTTGTATCTGAATTCCATGAAGAATCTTTTGAATCTGAGCATAGCATTTTTAAGATGTTCGGACATTTATACTCACGTACATTTCTATAAAAACGTTGGGAAAGACGTTTAGTCGTACGACGAAACGTTGTAGAAACTAGAAAGTAGAGGAAAAAGTTTGATGCGCATCCCAGCAATTGAACCACATTAGTCCATTCTACTGTTAAATTTAATGTCATATATAGTATACGAGCATTTCTGTCATGGCGAACAAGGGAACCCATTTCGCTCATTACTTGGAGACAAGCAAAATGTACAATACCGAATGGTGCAGTGAACAGTAGAAATGCTATGATAACTGCAAGTAGTAATGGAGTGACACGATTTGTGGCTCTTTGTTGTAAACGCTGAGCTGATGATTTGCCTTGTGAGTTCGTACGCCAGCTACCAGTACCCACATGTTGTTGGTGTGTATTATTCGAATCTCTTTGAAAATAATGAAGATAACGTTTTTGTATTTTTGTTTGTGTGCTAGAGTGTTCCTGAGTCACATTATTATTATTACATTTTTCAAATGTTTTATGGGAATCATATGTATATGATTTTCTGCATGCGTCACTTTGACGACACGCTCTAATCACCGAGACATTAGTTATAACTACACCAATAAATGGGCCGATATTTGTCAAGATTATTTGACTAACAGTATATGCTATTCGTATACTTTCAGTCTTCCAGATCTCACGTTCGATAACAAATATTGTCACTGGATTATGTTTTTCGGTTTTGTTAAAATGTGTTCTGCTTGTATTTGTTGGATAACTCCTTCGATGAGTTTGTTGTTCTGATTGTTGTATTGTTGAATTTAACAGTCTTTTATGACTAACCTTTTCTTCACTATATGTATATGTTAAAAATGATGGGATATGAAAAAGCAATGCCAGCAAATACAACAGAGTAATAATATGTAACATATGACGTGATGTAAGACATGCACGAGAGGCTAAAGGTCGACAAACTACCAGGTAGCGTACAATACTCATTAGTAATACCATCCAAACACTAACGGTTAGAAAATATGTCACAAGCCCAGGGCCATAAATAGTGTAATAAAGCATAAAATTATGACTTGTATAACGTCGTTGAACATAGCCCAATGGTAAAGATGTTAAACAAACAAGAAAATCAGCCAATGCTAGACCAAGTAAATTTACACGTGCTGTACATTCACCTCCAAATGTCACTTGAGACGTTGGATAAGCATGTAAAACAAGAAAATTTAAACAGTTTCCAATTATTCCTATGCATCCTATAAGTAAGGATAGAACAGGTAGTATAGTAAACTGTATACGTGCCCATTCAAGTGAATCGGTCGTGTTAGCCATAGATTTAGAAGACTTAGTTGATTGGTTATTTGTTTTTATGAGTACAGTAGTATTTATTGACAATACAGTATTTGATCCATTCTCTATATTGTTAATAATGTTACTACTTGATTGAGATGAAAAACTCAACATGATCATCTGTACCAAAATCAGATTTAAAATATTTCTGAGTACCCTTGAACTTCTGTAAAACAAAACAAGAAGACAGGGGACTTGATTAAAATTTCAACTAATAAAATAATAATTTTGAGAATAAGGATGGATTTTATTTTCATTCAAAGAGTTTGTAGATAATAAATACATATTTATAATATTGAAAGTGGTTTCTATTATTCGAAACACTTGGATGTATTCCCATCTAGTTGTATTAATTAAATTTTTATATATTTACTCATTGGAACTAAAATTACAGATGTGATAGAACGTGCCTTGTGGTTAGTTTAGATTTGTTTGGGCGATAATAACATAATGCATTCCGCATATCTGATGGGGATATTAGTATTTTCTCTACGTTTATACAAATGATGATGATGATGATAGAGTTTATTATAGTTTGACAACAAATAAAAAGATCCAATTATTTGTTTTTCACTAAGGATATTTTTAAGTGAAAGTCGTAAGATATGTGTTTCACACTTTGAACCACCTTACCACTGGCTAAACATTCATAAGTTCCAACCGTAAAATCTGGAAAAATAATTGTGTTGTCATTTTGAAATAGAATTTTTCAATGATTATTAGTTCAATAAAGACGGACTAAGTAATTTAAAATATTTTCAAATGTAAGAAAAAATACATAAGGTGATTTTTGAATACGTCTCGGATGAACATTACTTAGTGTACTGAACAAGAATAGAATAAAAATATGAAGCTAAAACATTAAATTGAATGTCCCTTTTTGAGTTTAATTTGTCATGTTTTAGCACAAAAAATAGATAGATTTTCGAACATAAATAACAGTGATTGTTAACTTTTTAAAAGAAAAAATTAATTAATTCAAAGTAAACTGGGAAATGACATTTTAAAGAAAAATCGTAACTGAAGAATTCACCTGATGTTTCGGTGATTTAAGGCATTTATTCTTTTCATCTTAAAACACTACTCAACATCAATTTGTAGCATGTAGAATATAAAATTTAGTTTAGTTTCTCTTTGATAAGAGGGATGAATAAGTGATGAACATTATGTATAATCTCTGAGTATTCATTAAACTTTACCATTCCAATTTTTAAAAACATTATAAAGAATTTAGTGATTTAGTCATGTACTAGGAATGGTTTAAACCTAGTCTTATTCCTAGAGAGACAAAGCTAACCTTATATTTTGAACTCAACTTTGTAAACTATATCTATACAAATAAATAGATACCATTTTGTTAAAATAAACCCCCGACATTATCAATCATAATTTGTATAATAATTCATGTCAAATGTTTCATATTACTTTCATTTTTCATTGAAGAGGTCTACATGTCCTATTGGCTAAGTTCGCAAATTTATTCTAAACTGCGTTTACATATTTATTTAAAAAATAAAACATACATATTTAAACGTTACAGATTAAATCCTCATGAATATATTTATTCCTACTTAGCTTATGCATCAAAAAGAAAGGAAAAGAATGACTGAAAGGAGCAAAAGAAAGACCCCATTTTTGACGTTGTCACTTTTTGTAATTAGAAAAGTTAAGAAATTAAGTTTTCTTTTGTTGTTGTTGTTGATGGTAAATCTGTCCAGTGTTGTATTATTTAGAATATTCATTATAAGAAAAACTAAAGTAATCTAATCTATCATGTTCAAAAACAAAACAGTGAATAAGTTATTAAAAAAACTGAAAGATTTCGAAATTATGGAATATTTTTCTAACTACTCTACAGATCTATAAAAGTACAGTATCTAAAATAGGATAAATTTAAAATGGTAAGTAATTTTAGTTTATAACGCATTCGCATATACTTAACATATATGTCAGAGGAAATGTAATCAAAACTGATAGAAAATTTCAGCAGGTAACCAATGTGATGTTTGATAACTGATAGGTATGTGAAAGTGATTCACTGAACATATTCTTTTCATAGTTTCTAAATATTTGAAACTTAATCTATTCGATGATCAGACCAATCGACCTTAACAGTTATGTGTAAGCATTGTCATTAGAAATCTAACAGTACTAACAATTCGGCTGTGATGATGAAAATCTTAAAATAGTTATTATTAAGAATAAACGATAAAATAACTTATTAACATACTGAGATTCATTATTTTGAGAGGAAAAGTTTCAGAGAATATTTGAATCAACTTTTATTTAGTGGAAGCATTACATTTTTAAATCCTTACTTATAGTTAATGACCACAAGTTGTTATCTTTGTTGTACACGTCATTCATTAATCAATTCACATAATAAAATTGTTTTCTTCTCTAGACTATGTCTTGTTGATTTCTGTAATACTGATAGAAAATATGAATTTGTACTATGATTTGCATATTTCATCACGTCAACATTTCCTATTATATTCACTTTAATCACTGTTTATAAATACATATCTAAAGTTTCCTAGATATTATGCTTTCAATTTGGAAAATATAGTGTTAGAAAAAGTCTTGTCGAGGTTAGCGTTACTATGATCTACGTAAGTTGTCATTTACATCTTTTTAGTGTGTTTTAACATATTGGCTAAACTATGACTTAGTGAGGATGTATTTGAACGTTCTTGATAACATAACTTAATTCTATTTACCATGTAATACAACTTGTATTTGCATATTTTTTTAAAAATTCCAACAAAATTATTCATTTGAATAATCCGATGACAAGACGAATGTTATCAGAAATATGTGATATATTAGTGTAATACATTTCGGACAATCTGATGACCCATCGACTTCTAAACGTGCAGTTGCGTACTTCTGGTGTTTTATGTTCGATATTTGAGACTTAACGTTTCGATTCAGAAAACTAATGCTAAACAATAATTTTACCGTCCAAGAACCATAATGTTAGACTACTACAATCAGTTATATATAAAATCGACTAAGAAATGTTATTGCAAATCCTCCTTTGACTTTTATCTACTTCGAAAATAAAATAAGGTATAATTACACTTACACTTCATACCTCATGTTTTATTCTTTGGTCAGTTAGCGGCATAAACAGTAGTTATATACTAATGAGTTAATCGTTTGTGTTGACCAGTAATTTTAGGTTGGTTTAGGTTTTTTACTCATTAGCTTTACAAGCAGACTTGCATATACGTAATCAGAAAGATCTTGATGTAGAACTGCGATGAGTGAGATTTGGTACAAAATGTATAACCACGTTTTAAAAAGTCAAAAAAGATGTTATCTCTCTAGAAACAATTAATTTAGTCGTTTTAAATGTGTCTAGTTTCTCTTTATTGTAAAAAAGTTTCGCTTTTTAAAAATGTGAAAATATATATCTATGGCATTGATAAGTTTAGTCGTTCGCTTTTATCTCTATATTAATAGATGGTTTATTATATGACAGATAACCGGATATTAGTGTTAAACATAATAAACATAGAACGCCTTCAATGCGACATAAAAAATAATTGAAAGTACTTTGCTAGGATATTTTTTACAGCATAGATCCAGCAAAGATATTTAATAAAATACAATGCAGTCTACTATGATGAAATACATGCCAAATCAACTTAAGATGCTCATTAATCATTTATTTCGAAGAAGATTGAACATTTTCGTGTGAAATCATTTGCTGTAAAATCCACATGAAGTAACAATGTGGATTTTGAATTTACAAAATACATAAATACTACCGACAAACCATATTAAAATGAAAAAAAACTTGACAAAATAGTTCCTCATCTCTAACAAACATCTTGCCTCAAGGAAGGCTTGTATTCCTTGTTGTTCAAGACCAGATATAGAAGTCAGAACATAGTGGAGATTCGGTCTAGACCTTTGCTCAGTCTCAATGATCAGTCAAATTCCATCATTTTGTGACGGTCACTACCTTTAAGTTAACCATATCTCAAGAACAACCTTGAAAATGAGTGATGTGGCTTTACTGATGTGATTGGTACAAAACATTAATCAGGTGGATTGACATTAACTAGTGTATGATGAGCAATTCATAACACTATGATAGTGATCTCATAATTTGAAGAACCAACTGAAACCCAAAAGATAATTTCCATATTATAGCTCAAACCATTTGGTTTAGAATATTTGTTTAAATTGGATAAAATTGATGTGAATAAAGACATTATACATTCATACTTATATCCTTTACTTCTAATAAAGTCATATTTAAATAAAAATGCAAGAACCGAATATGGTAATATTCATAAGGTTAAAATATACTTTTATTAAAGTATTTAATTTCATAATCATCACGTCAAATTTACACTGTTAATAATGGAGTGTTCATGAAAATGTATGTAAAAATGAGACAATTATATATTATTTTGTTTCTCGTTTCAGACAGATAAACACTGACCACTCACTACACTAGATATAATACCTTTTTAAATGAATGATATTTACTGATTTTTAAGCTAGTTAGTATTACCTTTGAGATAAATGCATCAACTGACTACCTAAACTAGACAGTTTAAATAAAGACTAGTCAAGAACCTAGGTTTTGCTATTAAATATAAAATCATTTGCAAGAATCGGAAACGTTCACCAGACTCTATGTTAGTAGTCTTAAATTCAAAGACGAGGGATTTCAGGAAATCTAGATTTGTATTTGTTTTAGGATTCGTGATATAAATCTAAAGAAGTCATCCCAACGAATACGTAGTTGCCTACTTGGAGAGTGAAAGGATTTCCTTACTTTGGAGCAACATAAATTGTAGAGAAAATAATCTGAACACCTCAGTGTATAGAAAGACTTTCAAAGTTAAATTTTGGAAGGTACCGTTTCCAGCCGAATTCATAAAACTAGTTTTCAGGACGTTATTAAATACCTGTCTAGTTATCTCAGGAATAACAAACCGAAAATTTCATTCAGTTGTGACCACGTAAAACTGAACTCTCTTTTTAATTCGATGGAAATTCTTTCGAGTTTCTTGAGTCCCTCTGTGCTTCTCATATTCGAAACCAGTAAACAGGAATGAATTTCCCAGAATTAGATAACTCTCGCTGATCTGTTTTGGTCGAAATCAGAGTGTAAGTTTATTTCAGTTTACGGATCGTTACTTG